AAGTCTATAGTCGAACATATTGCTAGGTACCAGACTGAGGCTGACGACATAGCCAACAACAAGAATTTGAAGATGAAATAATTTCTAAATTCTCTAACAAAGAATGATTTTACTTGGTTTACCACACTCCCTCCACACTCTATGCACACTTGGAGTCAGTTGAAGAGACTATTTCATGAATAATTTTACATGGGACAGTAAAAAATAAGCCTGAAGGAGTTGGCAAGTGTGAGGCGAAAGATTCCTGAGTCAATTGATGACTATCTAAATAGGTTTAGACTTCTTAAGGAGATATGAGATATGGTTTGAAAAGTTTGAGAAATAGAAGGAAACAATTTATTTTCTTTCTCTCCATGGACACCAATGCAGGACCAAGAGCCACAATAGAACCAATGTAATGAAATGTATGAGATTTATGGAGATGAAAAAGAGATGTGTGATAACATGAATGCAGATGAAACATAGTCAACAATTTCACCAAGTCTTTCGTGTTTATGAGTCAGACACATACTTTTCGTTATGAATTAAGTTTAACAAATGTTGCATTTCTGACAATAAACCTCTATTAATAGATTGATATGTTTGTCTCGCCTTATACAATTGCTCGACATTTGTCAAATTCTCAACATTTATATCCTTCAAAGATTCAATTATGTAACTCAACGACATGTTGCACTTTGTCATGTCGTTCACAAACTATATTTCTTTGATTTTTTAGACGGCCTAACATATCATGACAGTCTAAATCCTAAACTATATGAATTATGATACTTGTGAATACTACATTTAACCTTTATATTACAACCCGAATCACTTGACACAAATCTCAACCGCATCCAACCTACTTCTACGAGTAATTTTCAACTTCCCTTTATTCTTGTAATTTATCATCCTCTCGCAATGAAGAATTAGTTTTTTCTTCCGACCTAGCCTATTTAGTGTATTAGAACGAATGGTAACCACTATATTACCGTTCTGTCTCTCTTAATTTTTACATATGCTAATAACTTTTTTAGACTAATTTTATTTTCAAAAAGTGTAAAAATTTGAAGATATAAATTACGAGATGGGCATTATTGGTATTTAAAAATCATGGGGTGTCAGGTTTAATAGGGGGTGTGTGTCCAGTTGAATCTTCAATACCTACCTAGTTCTTCTAGTTCTTGTTCTAGGACTGACAGCGAACAGAAGTGAAGGAGAATCGAGAACATGGCCGGGAATATCGAAGTTGAAGAAAACGATCGCGTGCCGCTAAGATTGCGGCCGGAGTGGTCGGATGTTACTCCGATCCCACAAGACGATGGCCCTAGCCCCGTCGTGCCGATCAACTACTCCGAAGAGTTTTCAGAAGTTATGGATTACTTTCGTGCTGTTTACTTCGCTAAAGAGCTTTCCTCCCGCGCTCTTTCTCTCACCGCCGAAGCTATTGGCTTAAACGCCGGAAACTACACTGTATTTCCTAACCCTAACCATTGATTCACTGCACATTATAACCAATAGCTTATTGTGAATGGTGATACTTAGGGTTTGAAAAGGTCTGATCTTGTGATAATTTAATTGAATTTGTTGTTGTTGTTGTTGTTGTTGTTGTAGGTGTGGCATTTTCGGAGGTTATTACTTGAGGCACTGAAACTTGACCTACACGTTGAACGGGAATTCGTGGAGCGTGTTGCAAGTGGGAATTCAAAAAATTATCAGATTTGGTGAGATTTTGAGAATTATGTGACTTTTGTGTCCATGTTGCTGTACAAATTATGTTTATATGACCCTGTGGAATTTGTGTCTATGTTGCTATATAAATAATGACATGTTGCTATATAAATAATCAAGTAAAATGCATCAAGTAGCATTCAATGTCGTTTTCATGATGGGTCAACACAGTTATGGACTTGGTTTTGAAGTGTTTTCGTGTTGTATCTTTATAGCATTAGGCTCCCTTTCTTAAACTAGTAATTTTACCAGTTTTTTTCCTCGCTGAAAGTTGTAGATCTGTATCCCAAGAGTACTTGCGCTCTCAGAACATCGCTTCCATTGTGCATGGTTACCTGCTTATCATTAATAGCGAAAATGGAAGGTAATAATGGATAATGCATACTATTTCACCTAGGATATGTTTGGATTGATGGAATGGAATGAGATGGAATGGTATAATTTTATGTTTCATTGTTTGGATTAATTAAAAAAAAAGATGGAATGGAGCGGAACCGGATGGAATCCATCCCATTCCATCATTTTTTATACCCTTCGGTTTGGACAGAATGACAAAATTGCTTTGTTCCGTCATGGAATACCCAAACAACGGAATTTCATTTTTAATCCATTCTGCCCCGCTCCATTCCACCCTGCTCCATTCCCCCGTTCGTTTTACAATATCCAAACATAGTCATACTGAAAGATGGGACTTTATTTTAATAAACCGATGTTCTTTCCTCCCGTGTTAATCCAATAGGTGGGTGTCAGAGACTCTAGGTCTTCGTTTAATGGGCTAAGCATAACATATGTTTTACTCACCTGCAGATGTTGATGTTGCTGGCCTGTGATTAAAAAATTGTTATGATTTGTTGCATATTACTTCCTTTGTGGAATTGTAAAGAACATACTTCTTTGCTTGACATGGCATTCAGTTACGTGAAAACATTTGGAGGATATAGTTTATATTTGATATTAGTTTCATATATAAACCATATACATTCATGATGTCCTGCTTTAAAATACTTCATTTAACTTCTTTTGCATACACATCATTGCATTGATCTTGATGCCAGATGTTTATAGGCATCATAGACGATGGGTTGCTGAGAAATTAGGACCTGAAGCTAGAAACAGTGAACTTGAGTTCACCAAAAAGATTCTGTCTGTCGACGCCAAACACTATCATGCATGGTCTCATAGGCAGGTTTGTTTCTCCCATCGTCTCCACAAATCTGAGTTCCTCACGGTTTTTTCTGTACATTTTGTTGTCTTGTAGGCAATATTGTGCAATTCTGGGCACTATGATTTAGTGTTAGTAACTTATTATTGCGACTCTATAAAATTTGGCTTCTTTTTTTGTATGGACAGTGGGTTCTTCAAAATCTAGGAGGATGGGAAGATGAACTCAATTACTGTAGTGAACTGCTTGCAGAAGACATATTTAACAATTCTGCTTGGAATCAGGTAACCAACTGTTGTTTATGTTATATTTAGTTTTGGTACAACATGACATAAATAAATATTCAACATGGCTTAAAGATTTATTAACAGGTATTTGTATGATTGTTGCCTAACTAATTGATAGATCAAATTAATGCAGTATTCTGTATATTTATGTTATCGTCCGAAATGTTACATTTCTCAGCATCAATGGAGAAACAACTATCACGCAGTACTATGTCAAAGTTTCATTTATTCTAATCTTTAATATTAGCTAATTTTCTACCATGGGTCAGATTAATCTTTTTGGTTCTTTATTTCAAACAAAAGAGCTCTTATAATTTAATCAATCTGTTGGTCAATCTCTTGAATATAATTTAACGAGCCAAGTTATGCCTTAAGGACTGCTAACATATCCCCTTCTGCATTGTACTTTTATTACCGAATTAGCAGCGAAGTAAAAGCCTATGAGAATATGTAATATTCCTAGGATCCAATGAATGCTTTAAAGTTCCAGAAGAAATTTAGGCTTCATGTTAGGCCCAGCACAAGCTAAGATGTTGCTATTTAATTACCAAATAGCCAATTATGAAAAAGATCAAAGAGGAGAACTTAGAAATGCTTTTGATTCCTATTTGCTTATTAAATATGCTGCGTTCGCCACATACATGGAATGACTTGACTATCTATAATTACACTCTAATCCCATTTGCTTTTATGCAGAGATATTTCGTCATAACAAGGTCTCCCTTATTGGGAGGGCTAAAAGCTATGAGAGAGTCTGAAGTGCTTTACACCGTTGAAGCCATTATTTCATACCCCGAAAATGAAAGCTCGTGGAGATATCTTCGAGGACTTTTCAAAGATGAATCCTTGTTATATGTAAATGATGCCCAAGTATCTTCAGTATGTTTAAAGGTTTTGAAAACGAAGAGCAACTATTTGTTTGCTCTAAGTACTCTGCTGGATCTTATCTGCCTCGGTTATCAACCAAATGAAGATTTCAGAGATGCCATTGAGGCTTTAAGGACTTCAGATTTTGATAAACAAGATTCAGATATAGCAATAACTATTTGTTCTATTTTAGAACAAGTTGATCCAATTAGAGTCAACTATTGGGTCTGGCGCAAGAGTAGACTTCCTCAGGCAGCTTAATATTAAAGGACAAATTTATGTCATCTGTGTAATTTACTGTCTATTGGAATTTGATGACATGAAACCCCTAAACTTTGTTGAGTGATAAAAGGGTGGTTGTTTTTGTTCTGATATGTTTTCCGGATGTATTTCTATATTTAACAGCATAGTTGATTTAGCCTTGCCTTTGTGTTAACAAACCAATGTACTCCAAAAAACCGATGTTTTATTTCTCTTTATTTGTCTGGTTTTGTGGCATAACATTCTTGATGATTTTGTGGTAAACATCTTGTTCAGAATTCTTAGAATGGACCTTTTTTATTACAAAAGCATTACAAAGCGGGTAAATGCAGTATACTAAGCCACAAAATTTGAGAGAAATTAATTAGCTTCAACTTTCAATTTCACTAAAAGCTGTTACAGACTTTTAACCTGATATATCCTTTAGTATTGGTATGGTAAAACTCAGTAAAGGCAATAGAAGGGAAATTAAACATGGAGAACAAAAATCATTTGAAGACATGTAATTCTTACAAGTCTTCAAAATATATACAACACACGATACTAATACACAGGTATGTGCGAGAAATTTCTCTATAATATGGTCACATCCAAATTCTCAGCTATGTATGTGTATAAAACCTGAAATTCAATAATCAACTTGATTCGAGCTTATTGTTCAATCAAGACTTATTGGACCTAGAAGATGAAGTTGATTCGAGCTTATTGTTCAATCAAGACTTATTGGACCTAGAAGATGAAGTCAAAGTCTCCTTGAACGCTGATGGGCAGAACTTACTTACACTGCATTCTCCACAGCGAGGCCGTAAAGTGGTACAAATCGTCCTTCCAAATCCTACCTGTTCAAATTCATATTCAAGCCACAGCCACAGGATGCTTTACATATATACAAAGAATGTTGTAAAACAGATGGTATCATAAGAGACCAAATAATGTTTTTCACAATGCAGCAATAACACCACATCCAAAATATAACCACATCCAAAATAAAATAGGTGCATTTGTTGGTATATTGTTAAAGGAAGTGAGTGAGTTATGCATACCAAGAGAGGATTTATTGCAACCCATTCTTCCCTCGGAAGCCACTGTTGCAGCGCCTTTCTTGTTTCTTCTGGTATTGAAGTTCTCTGGCATGAAGTGGCCAAGAAAATTTAATAACTTCCATCCAATTTAAGACATTAAATAAGCCTTGATATAGTAATTTGCATATTTTTTTCCTCTAGCCAGCAAAAACAATGAAGCTTATCGCAACTATTACGTGACACACTGATACTACCAAATATTAAACAAACCTGTTTTGTGCCTGATCTCGAAACCCATCCAAGACGATTGCAGATGCGGTGGACATGAGTGTCTACACATATTCCTTGGACATTGTTCCATGCAATAATCATAACCTACAAAAGCTAATACTATTAACAAAATGAACTTAAAATTAATGAAACAAAAACTGTTTGAATTATGAAAAAATGCGCACATACCAAATGAGCAATCTTAGGACCTACGCCTGGAAGTGAGAGTAGTTCCTCAATTGTATTAGGTATGTCCCCATCATATTTTGTTAGACAAATATGAGCCATTTTCTTCAAGTTACTGGCTTTTCTTATATAAAATCCAACCTGTGAAAAGAATACTCAAAAGTATAATCATAGACATTCAATTAATAATAGAACACAAAAATGACATAAAATAAAAGAAACCGACATCTTATAGAAATACTGGAAGCATCAAAAGTGGCATCCTTAATTTTCTACCAAGTCCAAACTACTTGAAACGTACAAGAAACACGGTTTCCAAACGCAAACGACGAACATACAGGGTAAATCAACTTTTTGATAGTTTCTTCATCAGCGTTGTTGAGTGCATCAGCAGTAAGCAGACCATTTTGACGAAGACGTTGAGTTGCTCCTATTCTTGAAAAAAAAACACTCTTAGAGATGACTACACTTATATATGAGCAACTTTCAAACACTAATCACATAAAAAGAAAAATGATAAACACAATACAGGGTCAAAGCGCAAGGGCTGTTCAAATTTTATAGATTAACACTTTATTGTTTTCAAAGCTCAGCCTTCTACATCATGCTATATACGAAGTATCGAGTTTTTCTTGCACTTTCTTTCCTCTACATATACAACAATTACCAAAACATTTTTCTACTAGATGAAAATTGACTACATGGATCAAACTACTTCATTCAGTCATGTCGCGAACCATAAATATGATTGAAAAATAACATTGCAATCTTAGAATGAAGCTTCTCAAACTACGAAAAAAGAAAACACATCTCATGACAGGTATTTCATGACCTTAAAACTTGAGAAGGTAATGTATTTACCACGAGTAATATGCTCTTTAGTTTGGCTTGACAAAAGAGTAGATGCCAGCACAACAAACCTTCTTTCCTAATTACGCGCATAAAAATTTAGTTTATGCTGACAGTAAATTTATCCCCATCAAGATACATTTTTCAATAATCACATTCAGTTGATAGCTGTGCAGGGACATCAGACATTAACAACATAAACCAAAAGATTAGTGCTTAATTTCATTCACCGAGTGCAAAATCAACATAAATATGACATAGATTTAGACCTTAGGAGGATGAATATCGTCATCTTCCCGATCTCCAGAAGTGTCTATGGATTGACTCATTTTACGAATCCCTTCAAGCACATATTCCCAATTGGCAGGACATTCATCTACAAAAATGAACAACTTACGTAGAATAGAATCAATCCAAAACTGCACATTGCATGCACTAAACACTTACTAAATTGACCCAATTCACTTGTTTCTGTGTATGCAGATCCTTCAGGCTGGACAAACTTCTGTGTCGTGTTTTTGGGTGTCTTGTTCATAGCATGGATGCGAATTTGGGACACTGAAGGGTTTGAAATATGAAAAACTTTATGGAAAATGAAGCATAGAAGAGAATTGAAGATAATAATGGTGTGTGAAGTTAATACCTCGGTGTGAATTGGTTTTGGAGGAGAAACAGAGTGTCCTTGTAATGGAGGAGACATGGATTCGCACCAAATATACAAGCACCGACATTTTAGGACATTGGCGGGAGGACCAACAATAAACCGATATGACCCAAATTGTTACTTTGTTTTTCTTCCTTCAATTTTTATCAATATAAGTACCTAATTTCTCCAACTCAATATCTTCAGTAAAATAAACTAAAATAAAATAGTTAAATTGGTCACACAAATAATTTTAGATTAGGTTTAAATATTATAAAACGAATAGAGCGGAAAGAAGAAAAACAGAATGATAAGAGGGTTCTACAGCTACATCCAGGGTTTCCACTATTGGACAAACACAAAACTAAGAAGAAAGATAAACTTTTTGAATAATTGTCTGTTCATTCCAAACGGAAAATATTAGTTAAATACAAACAACAACTTAATAGATCAATATTTAATGGATCCAGCCTAAATAAAAAGAACATAATAATTAATAAAACTAATACTATATTGGAACACGATTTTTCATTTAAAAAGACTTTTTGGGTAATTCTTTTGCGCTTGCTATCATTACTATCGGGTCCAAAAATATCTTTGTCTTTGAGGTTGGGTTTCAGAAATATTTTGGAAATTTTGTATAACACCCTATATATCTAAGAAGTACCCTTGTAATTCCCAAAAAATCTATCAGTTTTCAGATATACATCTCCAGACATACTTTTTTTTGGATGTAAGTTTATTTCGGAGATACATATCCGTAAATGTATCAAGAATGTATTTCTGAAAAATTATGTAGACACTACCACATCTTATTTTTCAATGATTCTCTTATCAAGACTACAAAATATAAAACATTATAACATTTTCTCAGATTCGACTATAACAACGATATGAATATAACAATATATATATATATATATATATATATATATATATATATATATATATATATATATATATATATATATATATATATATATATATATATATATATATATATATATATATATATATATATATATAAAGTCAAGACTACAAAATGTATCAAGAATATCAAGAGTTACACTAAAGTTGATAAGCAAAATACAATCTAAAGTATATCAAGTGTACAAATGTCAAGACTACCGCGTATTTTAGACTATGAGTCCGCCTCTCCCTCATCTCCCCACGCTCCTACGCTATCTCCTGTACTGCAGAGCCTCTGCCATCATGGCATCTATCACACCTCTCACCTCAAAGCCATCAGGAAAGAGTCCTCCATCAAAACATGCATGTCCAATCTCCACGATACAACGAAACTTAGGCAATTTATTATGAGCATGATCAACCCTAGCTTGCTCCTCCTCTAGAATCTCCTGATAAGCTAGCCTAAGTGGGTTTTTTGGAGTATCATGTATCAAATATGGATGTGACACCTGGAAGACCTATCAGATGTAATCGTCTACGTAGATCCAGTCGTTCGGTGCTACGGTACTTCGTGCCTCATCTAGTACCAGATGATTAACATAATCATCAAATATGGTATCCATATCTGTGTGTTTCATCCGGAAAGAGCAGACACAACAGAATGCCTGAGAATATACTGCATGTAGCCGAACTGAGGCATGACGCATTCAGGCAGATGAGGAGCCTCCAGGCACGACCTGTAAGTCAATCATCTCGAGTACAAGACAATGTCATCAAGTGGGATCGTCACATAGTGATCGACGTAAGAATACAAGTGTATATCCTCAAAGACCAAGTGGTCAATATTCAACCTAAACGAATCTATCGCCTAGTTCCCTCTGAGTGGGTTGAATGCAGAAGCACGCGATTTATCCTCAGTATAAGCCAAATCAAGTGACCAACCAGAGATGCGTGGGAAATGCTCTAGGATCCAAGCTTGAAAAAACAAGAATCATTAGTGTTCTAGTCTGGCTCAATGCGTAGGCATGGCCCAATCCACTTCTATATCTAAAATGGCCTAATAGCTTTGGCAAATCAATTGGAACATGTAAAGGGCACCTTTTCCCTTCTGCCCCTCATCCAGGGACACGTGGTCGGTTGTCCCCTAAAACCAACGAGACCACCGCTGCCCTCAATTGCACCTTTGTTTGTGTCAGTAGCTACTTCTTATTTTGCTCGCCACACGCAGAGTAATCATCCAGAGCACCTTTGTCGCCCCTCATCATCAATTCACATCATTCTCATACACAAAAAATCAAGTATCATATTTCTATCGAAAAGTGCATCAAAACCAACGCAAAACACATGATTAAATTCCACAAAATTCATGACAATTCATGATAAATCATATATATTTATGATCCAGAACAATTTTAGAAAATAATAAATTTTGCATTTCAGACCACACTAAGCGGCCCCGCGCGCTATATGACCTTGCGATTATGTAGAAAATTCTGCTACAGATAACTTCTGCCTCCTACGAATTTATCCATCCAAATCTTTTTCAAACACATATATTTCGCCAATTAAATGTATTATAACCTATATCTAACATATAGCATCAAATACAAACATCAAAACATGATTTCCAACATCAATTTCATGATTCTACATTCAAACTCTAACATGTCAAAATCTAGAAATTGAAGAACACATCCCTAATTTCATGTTATTACCCATCGCATACTATTACATATACCCATAAATAAATTAATACCCACCATTACCTTGGATGTATTTACTCTAGGGTTCTATGCTCTTCTCTTCTTCATTTCTCTCATTTCTCCCTTTTCTCATCTTTCTTCTTTCTTCTCTTCTCTTGTTTTCTCCACTTTCTCTTTCTAATTCTATATTTTCCTTATTTTGTTCTACTCTTAATAACTTTAAATGTGCTTAACTCTACTCACTCACTCTAATGTAATATAAGACCCAAATGTGTATTATGTTATTCTCACACTCAATAATCCAATAACATATAATACACACATATTCCAATTAAATTAATTATTCACATAACCACTCAATTTAATTGACCAATCACATATTCACCAAAATCAAATAATTAAATAAGTATCAAACCAAATAATAATTAGCATGGAAATTAAATAGTAAAATAATTGATAAAGAAAATCGGGGTGTTATAACTCTCCCCCACTTAAAATATTTTCGTCCTCGAAAATTGCCTCAAACAAACAACTCAAGATAAGACTCCCTCATCTGACTCTCGAGTTCCCATGTCATGTTTCCACCCTCCAGTCCTCCCCAAGATACCTTCACCAAGGAAATCTCTTTATTACGAAGTTGTTTCAACTCCTGATCCTCTATCTGCATAAGTGATGTCTCCACAGTCAGGTTATCTCTTATTTGTACATCATCTAATTGGACCACATGAGATGGATCCGCAATATATCTCCTCAACAGAGACACATGAAACACATCATGGAGATTAACAAGCAACAGTGGCAAAGCAATCTGATAAGCCACTTCACCACTCTCTCTAGAATCTAATAAGGACCAATAAAACGCGACTTCAAAGCTCGACCAACACCCATTACTGGAGTAACTTGAAGGAACACATGATCTCCCTTCTTAAACTGAAGTGCTTTCCTCCTCTTATCATGATAACTCTTCTGATGACTCTGAGAAGCCTTAATCTTCTTCTGAATCATCTTAATCTTATCGGTAGTATGTTGGACTATCTCAGGTCCAACCATAACACTCTCTCCAGATTCATACCAACACAAATGCGTCTTACACCTTCTACCATACAATGTCTCAAATGGTGTCATCCTGATAATTGAATGAAAACTATTGTAATAAGTAAACTAAATAAAATACAATTAACTATCCCAAGTACCTTCTTGTTCCAATACAAAAGCTCTCAAAAGATCCTCAAGTGACTGAATCGTCCTCTCAGTCTGACTATCTGTTTGCGGATGATAATCAGAACTCAAATGTAACTTTGTACCCAAAGCATTTTACAAACTTTCCCAAAATCTCGTATCCATATCCGACACAATGCTAGATGGAATACCATGAAAACTGGAAATCCGCTCAATGCACAACTTTGGAAGCTTCTCCATTGGATGATCCATTCTCATCGGAATAAAGTGAGCTGTTTTAGTCAATCTATCCACAATAACCCAAATAACTTCAAAACTACTCGACGTTCTAGGCAAACCATAAACAAAATCCATAAAAATACTATCTCATTTCCATTCAGGAATAGATAACGGTTGCATCAAACTAGACAATTTCTGATGTTCAATCTTCGACTTCTGACAAATCAAACAAGAATACACAAATTCTGCAATCTCTTTCTTCATACCTGGCCACCAAAATAATTTCCTCAAATCTTGATACATCTTAGTAGCTTCAGGATGAATACTCAATCCACTATGATTCCCTTCCTCAAGAATCCTCTTCTTCAAATCGGCTATATCCTAAATACAAACTCTATCATGGCATCTCATGATACCATTTTCATGAATCCAAAAATTGCCACCTCGACCTTGATTGATCAACATCAACCTATCCACCAAAATCAAATCAAATTTCTGACCTTCTCGAATCTCGTCAAGAATGCCACTAGTAAGCTTCAACATACCAAGCTTAACACCAGAAGAAGTCTCTTCATAAATCAAACTCATATCTCCTAATTGTTCAAGTAATTTCAACTCTTGCACCATCAACATCGACATATGCAAAGACTTCCTATTTAATGCATCGACCATAACATTCGCTCTACCAGGATGGTAATTCAAACCAAAATCATAATCCTTCAATAATTCCAACCATATTCTTTGCCTCATATTCAACTCTTTCTGACCAAACAGATATTTAAAACTCTTGTGATCACTAAACAAATCAAATCTCGACCCAAACAAATAATGTCTCCAAAGTTTCAATACAAACACAATAACAACTAACTCTAAATCATGAGTCAGATAATTACTTTCATGCACATTAAGTTACCTTAAAGCATAAGCTACAACTTGTTGATTCTGCATCAACACGCCACCCAAACCCATCAATGAAGCATCACAATACACAACAAATGATTTTGTCAGATCAGGCAAAATCAAAATAGAAGCGGTTGTCAACCTTCTCTTAAGCTCTTGAAAACCAACTTCACACTGT